GGGGTGGGGGTGGGGGTGGGGAGAACAACAGCCCAGTATTTTGCTTGCTTTCTAATAAAAGCCTGTTTTGTAATTGACCCTATCCATTATGACATGGTCTCCATATTTAACATGGTCTCCATATTTCAAATGTGTTCATATTTCAAAAGGGTTGAGGCACAAGAGTATCCCAGGTACACCCACTTTCATTTCAATAAAATTCTTAGCCCTCACAGTAATGAAATGAAACACATATATACATTCACACCTATCTTTTACAAAAGAAATCTTTTTTCCCTTTTAATTAAAATATTTCCCAGTATGGAATTAATTAATTCCCCATTCTTCTTTAATTTGTAATTATGGTAAGATATACCATCACCACCACCCCGCTATAAATAATTCAATGTTTCTACAAAGGAAAAAATGCTATATAAAACAGTCATAACAAGAGTTGCAGTGGAAAGGAAGAACACAGGAGGGCAACAGCCTGTTTTAGCATAGTGTTTTAAGAACTGGTTGAAAATCTTCCTCTGACAAGTTACACCTACTGACCTCAGTTATGGACAGGCATTTTATGGTCTTGTCTGAGTTGTTTCTGAGGGTTAGTGAGCCTTCAGCAGTACTTACCTAAATTCTGCTGGTGGCGGTGGAAGATTATCATCTGTAAATGAAGGAGGTGATGATGAAATTGAATCTGGCTGTGGAGGAGGTGGGTAGTAGGTGGCATCAACACTCTCATTGGAGCCAATGCTACCATTCTGATACACCATATTAGGAGGGTACCTAAAACCACAAAAGTACAGTTGTTAGCCAAGATCCCTCCCCTCCAAAAGTTCAAAGGGGCCTCAAATGTAGAATACTTATAGCATATTTAAAACATAAACAGTAGTAACTTGGGTAGACTTTTGTATCAATACTGTAGCATCTTACCTATTAACATGGATTACAGTTATGGGGACAGGGGTTGCTTTACTCATATGTTTAGACCCAGGCCTCTGAAATCAATATATTTATCTCCTTCTAAAATCTTGGTTGTAACTTTGCTTCCTTAGACCTTTTTTAGGCTGCAGCTCACTTGGCATCAGATGCATAGAATGGCTGGACCGATGTAGGATTTAAAGGGGGGGGGAGATAGGTTGGTTATGCAGGTTACATGTCAGACAGATTACCAGTACCTTATCACTTAACCCTACCCCTAATCAATCTGTCTTCCTCCTCCCCTCCCCTCCCCCTTCTCACCCTAATATAAATCCTAGATCAGTCAAGCTGCTCTCTGCATCTGATGAAGCGAGCTGCACCTCACAGAAGCTTATGCCTTTGAATAAAATTTGTTAGTCACAAAAGGTGCTACCACACTCCTGATTTTTGGCCACCATAAACTAACATGGCTCTCCTCCCGCAATTAGGCCTTTTTGCAACTCTAAACTTGATTTTCTCCTTATAATGCTAAGATTTATCAAACATAGCACAGGGGTTCAGAGCACGTAATTGATTATCTACTGGACCACCAAACAATGCTGAGATATACATAAAATGTAACTACAGACTAATACATTGCTCTACAACTGGATACAGAAATGGATACTGGGTACTCCTATTTTACACATGAGGAACAAAAAATGATAAATAAGCAATTAGTACATGGCCAACAAAGGCAGAAATTATTTCTCTATACCGTTTCTATTCTCTTTAGAGAGGAATACAGAGAACTACTATAAGTTAGCCAGAGTTCTACCACTACTTTCCAATCCACATTCTTCATTTAATTTCCTAAAAACAGTCTTGGGTTGGCATTTCTGGGTAAGTCAAATCATAATGAAATAAAAAAGAGTCACTGGAAGTCAGGCAGCATAAAAATTTAATAAATTATTATTATTATTAGTAGTAGTATTACTACATCATAAACAGAAGAATGTATCAAGCAGCATTTATTTAGACAGTTAATGCAGGTGGGTCTGTTAAGTAATAGGGTCACTGCAATGCAACACACAAAAGTTTCTATCTTTGGGAGAGGGACAGATTTTTAAAAAACAAGGGAAAGATCTATTTTCTACTCTGTTGCAGCCCTATAATCTTAATCCTAGTCAACCACTAGAAGTCCTTGGAAATTACAGTTGCATACAATTTTGGTAAATAAATGAATTCTAAAACAACTACTGTAGTTGGTGGACTACTGAAACAATGTTCAACACAACACTGTCAAGACTGTATATGAATCAGAGCTCCTCCTAGACTATACCATTTAGGCTCTCCCCTCCCCACAACGTATGTTAAAAGATCTCTTTAAATGGAAAATGAACATACTGACATATGGTTTTACCAACTTAATGTGCTAGTTTTATATGTAGATGCATTGCTTTCCTTCATACCCTGGGAGGTGCGTATGTATGTATGTATGTATGTATGTATGTATGTATGTATGTATGTAGCCCTTCTCTGGCAATGTGAAATGATACACTCCAAAAAAGACTTTTCAAAACAGTGTTGCCTGGTTCTCTCTGGTGAATCTTGCCAGCTCAATTTCTGAATCACATAACTTCCATCTTTTCTGGAGTGTATCATTTCGGATTACAAAACTAACTTCCAAGGGTAACCGGGCCTTGCAAATTATCTACCCTGAATTTCCTCCAATTCAGTTTTATTAGATGACCCTGAGTTCCAGTTTATGAGAGAGAGAGGAACATGTTTCTCTACCCACCTTCTCTACATTATGCATAATTCTACATATCTCTCAGGCCTCACTCAAATCTTTCCTTCACAAACTAAAAATAATCCAGTAATAATAGCCATACTGCCTTGTCTTGTGTGAAGATCTTGGAAGCTACAGAAATCTGAAGAATAAGGAATTTATTAAATTTATTGACCACCTCAATCCCAAGAGACACCATGCAGTGTACAAGTCTAAAACATAATAAAATTAATATGAGACAGTAATAACCATTATGTTGCTAGTAATTTCACACAATTGCCAATGATCTTCCAAACCTCCCCAACTTTTTTCTAGTTTTTGGAAAGCCACAAGAGTGGAACCACCCTTGCCTTGGGGACTAGGATGTTCTAAAAGAGTTAGTGCATAAGAGACCACTGTTGCTGATTAAGTACATGGAACATTTTTGTTTAAAAAAATGAAATAAAAAGATAGAGAAAGGAATATGGCTGCCAAACTATCCTTTCACTAGGTTTCAGTCTTAGATGGAATGTGAGAGCAGTCTCTAAATATGTAAGCCAGGCTCCGTAAGATGCAGGAGCAGTGTTACATGGCACCCGAGGACTCTCCAAATGTTGCAGGGATGAAACAAACAAAAGTGATCTTCGCTTTTCATAAGTATAAAATTCAGGTGTAAATTTAAATCTTTTTTTATCCTATACATAGGTCCTTTATCAAGTGGGAAGCAGAAGAGAGACATAAGTCAGACAAAAATTATCTAGTGATAGAAGAGAATAGAAGCTCAAAGGCTCATTGCTACAAAGGGAAATTCCAAATAGCTTTAAAACCACTCATTTTCCAAATGATTTTCTTAAATCATACAAGAAAAAAAAATTAAATGTATCTCTAATGTTGTAAGCTTCTTACAGTATTGGAATATAAGCCAATTTCTAAAACTCTATGCAAATTTTATATAATTAAGTATCTTTAAGCATGAAGATATTCTAAAATGTTCTAGTTCTATGTGAAATCAAATAAACTTCTCAGCTCAGTCTACCAAGGGTGAATTAGTACAGCAAAGATTATCAGAGGAGAAGAGAGACTTATTCTGCCACACCTTCTGCATATCCCATAATTGTACTTATTGTGTTCAATCATTATGAGAGACCAAGCTCTTCAGTCTATTAACAGAACAAAGTTATGTAGGGATAAGATCAGCAGGCCAACTGTCTTTTGCCAGGTAGAGAATAAGTCTGAAAAGCAAACAAAAACATAAATAAAGCACAGGGTTTTTTAAAAAGAAAAATGATGGATCACACCAGCGATCTTCTCCTATCCAAGGACGATTTTTCATCCGTTCATACTAAATGGCACTTACAGAAAGGGATAAGTGTAAAATACTGTAAAGCGGTAAAGCAGTCATTTGGGCCTCCTTCAAATCAGAGCAGTTCAGAAAAATCTCATACATACTTATTAGAGAAACAGTACCAAAATATGGGCAGTGATATGACTGATTCAGATTAACATTCATTCAGTTTTACCAATTTGCTATGCATCCCTAAGCCAGCTGATCCTGGCTGCAACTGATGGATGTAAAATTGATATGCAGAATTATCCAAATTTCATCCGTTTGCCAAAACAATTAAAAAGGCTTTCAAGATTCCTAACTGACATTTCCAGTTCATTACAAAAGTAAATATGAGTGGAAAATAAACACACGTTGTCATGCAGAGAGGACCTTGGAAAAGTAACTGGGCAGCTCTCTTCCAACGACCTCAGAATGCGCACGGGGAAAAAGTTCATGGCCTAGATCTGCTCAGCCATTCATTTATTCTGATATTGCCAAAGGCTTCTCTTTTGCAACACAAATGAGCTGCCATTCTAGAAACAGTTTTAGACATGTTGTTCCCCCCCCCCCGCTTTTTTTAAAGGGAAGAACAGCTGAATGTGATTGTGTATGTATGACCTTGACAAAAATGGTTTCTTAAGCTGTGAAGACAGAAATGGCATTCCTCCAGCTGCAGGTTTTTACTGTACGGTTACCCCACTTTACTACAAAAAAGAAAAGAAAAAAAGGGAAGAGAAAAGAAGAGAACAGAAAAAAGAGCACAGCAGAGCAAAGAAAAGCAAAGCAAAGAAAATCCAGAGTGGCTAGCAAATATTTAAAACCAAAATTTTAAAAAGTGGAACAAGCATTTCAGTGCCATTTCCCCCTAAGTACAGTGGAATTTGTTTTTTTAAATGGATAGTTTCCTTTAATCTATAGTTTCAATTAAAAGGTGGCCATGTCTAGTTTTCCTAAGTAGCAGGAGACTATAAGAATTATCTCATATGCTTGTTTCTTAGGGTAAAAAACTATTACATATAGTGCTTCCAGCTAATGTAGCTAATTATTCTAAATATCAATATATCACATCCAAGGTACCTTTACAGCAAAACTGCTGGGCCCAAGTAAAGGTATACAATTTGTATTTCTGATAGGTGAAAACACCCCAAAGTCAAGCTGACAAGCAGAATTCTCTTCTTGTAGTTTGCACAACATGTCCAGTTCTGATCTAAAGCCACTAGCAGGAGTAACAATTTCCAAATCAGCTTCACTGTAGCAACCTATATTGGTTCTAATTACCAGTGTACAAATTCAGCACTTGTTCATTCAAGACTGTCAAGGTTGCATAGTTAAGATATGTGTAAGTTTGTACTACTGTGCATATAATATCAAGTCCTCTTTGCTCAATTTGATCCCTACACAATAGGTAAAGGGTTCTGTGAGCTCTAAATGAAAGAGCATGGTGATTATTTCACACGTCTCAAACCCCTGCACGTCTGCATTAAATATTATAAAAGCAAAGTCACCTTCAAGTCAAGCACTACTTCTGGCGACTTACATATCAGACCCATGCAGTTTTCTTAGGATGACACAAAACTAGTCTGATATGTCAGAATTTTTTTTTAATTCCAAGCATAGCCTTAAAGAAATGTGCTAGGATTCAAAAATCTACTTCAACTATTGATTATGAACTAGAGCAAGCTCAATCAGGTTACTTGTTCTTCCTTTGGCAAGGAGACTACCCACATATTATATCATCCAAAATGATGATGATGATGATGATGATGATGATGATGATGTCCCTTCCTAGGAGTGCTGCTGTTCAGGAAACAGAAATCTTTAGCCTTGTTGGCACACAGAACTAATTCCAAGGTCAGTACAGTATTAGAGTTTATCTCTTACCCTCCTGGTCCATGTTTTTCCCTTGAATCGACAAACTCTTGACCCATTTTCATTTTTTCCCATTCTTCTTTTCGGCTTTTTATCTTCCGAGGATTCACATTTCCTCTATTAGGATTATCTTTCTTTTCTTTCTATAAAATAAATAAATAGGAAGCAATAGTAGGTTCTTCCTTTAAGCTGGACATCTGCAAAGAAAGATTATCTGCAATAAAAACTTACATAGTAAGGAAATCTTTCTCTCACTAAGTCTGTCTACACCTATCCAATAGCACACGTATTTAATAGATCTTAGGGATCAGTATCTTATTTGGGGTATATGTTTTGTAAATAGGCACCCACAGAACAGCTAAGGTGATGCACATCTTTATAAAAGAGTTGCAGTAAGATATTCTTCAAAAGTCCAATTAGAGGATATCTTGCCTACTATAAACAGATCCTCAAATGCAAAAAACAAACAAAAAAAAGGGCTAATTTTGCTGTAAGCAAGCTATTGCTATATAATAGTCCCTGATGTCAAACCTGCTAAATCAAACCTTAATTTAATGATACAGAATTTCCACAAACTGATTGCAGAACAGTAGGCTGCTGGCACTAAGTGAGAAGGAAATATTTGGGTAAGGAAGCTTAAAGGGAAGCCAAACCCTTACTGCTGCTAAAGGGATCATGGGGTTAAAAAAAGAAAGAAACTACTTAGAAACTGCAAATTTCACATATACCCTACTTGCCTTTTCACTACAAGTGTTGCTAGAATGAAATTTCTATCATTTTTATTCATCCTCAAATAAAATGCAGTCCAGAACACAGGGAAAAAGCCATCTAGATAAAGCTTTTTTATGAGTATGATTTCACAATTAATTTCAGTTGAAAGATGCACAAAGGTTCCAAATACAAGATGTCTTTTTGCAACATCTATAGCCAGGGGTACGTAACAGGTAACCTAATTCACATTTTCTTCAGAATAGTTAGTTTACAGCCCGATGCCTTGCGTGTTTACTCTGAAGGAAATCCAACTTTGTTCAGTTGCCAGGTAAGTGTGCAAAGAATGATAATATTGGACACTCAACAGCTTTTATAACAAGTATCTTAACAAAAATTGTTCAGGATGGGCAATGTTTTAAGCCCTTCTAATAATTATTGCTGAAAATAATGGCATATTTTCTATTGTTCTGAGTTAGGAAACAGAAAAAAACTCTAAGTCTAGAACAGGGTTATAAAGATAAAAAGCAAAGAAAGGCCTCAAAACTCTTCCTAAATTAAGTGATGTGGCTCCATCTACTCAGGTGCCTTCAGCTCCCCATAAAGTGGTACGTTTAGCCTTTGGCCATCAAAAAAATTGCTTCACTCTGCTTTACATATTATTCTTGTAACCGAAGCAATGGCACTATGGCACAAGCACAAATAATGCATAAAAGAGATTGAGTGAAGTCTTTTCCATTTAAACCAAAAGAACCAATCCACTGGTGTGATTAGTTGTCCATATCCATCATTACCAAGGGTTGCTTGCAATCAGGCAATGGAAATCTCCTACATTTTCCCTCTCTTTGTTTAAAGGTAAACCAAGCAAACTAACGTAAGCAAAATGATGCTACCCATCTCACCCTATGCTTTCGCTTCTCTTTCATTATATCCTTGGTGTCCTGCAGCATTTTCTCCTTCCAAAGATCAAAGAAATATGATGGGTCTGTGTAGAATTTAAGTGCTTCCTTGCCATCATCCCTAGGAGAGAGGATATACATACAGAATGAGATGGTTACTTGTTTACCTGACAACCAAATATGACATGGAGATAATAGAGGCAAACACCACAGTCCCCTAATAAAAAGTTTTCCCTTTAGGATAAAGCCAAAAAAAAAAAAAAAGTGAAAATTTCTAGCCCATTCTGCACCAGTGAGGGAACCTGCTGTGACTTCAACATGCAAAAGGCAACATTTTGATACAGCATGGAGATATATGCTTCTCCTGCAATGTAGGGGCATCTCACCAAAGACAGCTGCCTCCAGCTATCTGTAATTACTTTTTCCTACTCAAAAAGGTTATCAATGGATACGGGTTGAGAAAATATTTATATTCCTTACCTCCACCTCATTTTCAGTTATAACACGCTTGCTACTTTGCAGGCGGACATTTATTTACAAAATGTTTTCCTGCTTTTCATTATAATCATAATCCCAAAATGTGTATGCCAGAATCAAACAGTAAGCAGAGAAACTGGTTTTGCCACCACATTCTACCCTAGAGTTTTATCAGTATCAGGTTTGAGGGTCCAACAATCACACTTCCCAGAGGATTATTATGCATTTAGTTCCAGCAATTCTACCAGCAAATCTATGCATCATAAATGGCAAAAAGTAGGAAAGCAGCATTAAATTATATGCATGTATATAAGCATTATATGCTTGCCTTGCCACAGTGGAAGCTTATACGGTGCTATTAAAGTTTCATTTTCTTATTCCATAACCACAAAGCTACCCCACAAAGTAAACGAACCATTTTCCAACCACTTTCCAATCATTCACCTTGCATATGAAAACAAGGAGAGCTGAATGAAAGTCTGCAGATTACTGTCATATCATCTCCTGCCATAGTTTGGTCTAGTTGTTAAGGCACCCGGCTAGAAAGCAGGAAACAGTGAGTTCTAGTCCCGCCTTAGGCAAGAAAGCCAGCTGGGGGACTTTGGGCCAGTCCCTCTCTCTCAGCCCAACCCACCTCACAGGGCTGTTGTTGTGGGGAAAATAGGAGAAGGAAGCAGCATTAGGTATGTTGGCTACCTTGAGTTATTTATAAAAATAAGAAAGGTGGAATAAAAAAAAAAAAAGAAAAACTAGTCTCTCTTAGGAACTGAAGCCACTTTACAGAGCAAACGTCCACTAACTCAGTAACGGTTCTGGTTCACTACATTGCAATGTCTCTGCAGGGCTTCATACAGCAACCTTTCTCAGACCTACCAGGTGATGTCAAGGACTCAAAGTAAGACTTATATGCTGGTGAAGTATTGCTCACTGCTGTTTCTTACCACCTTCTCAGTAATGTCAGAGAAGGCTACCAGGAGAAAAGTGGAGGAGTGTGATCTTCACGGGAGCCAGTGCAATGAGAAGTAGAGAATCAAATGCCAGCAGGAAATCAAAAGCCATCTGTTATTGGAGAAGCTTCTCACTTTCCAATGGAGGATAGCTCCTTATTTTTAATGTGTCCTTCACTTGGGGGAAAGAGAAGGAAATATGCAACGTTGTCACTGATGGTGAGGGAAGAGGACTGAACCTTCATAATCTGGGCCATGGGGATCTCAGTCTGAAAGTTTATGAGCTGGACATCTCTGCATCAAAAGATGGAGAATGTCAAAACGTGTTGCCAAATTAGAGCAAACACCTAATTGATCTAGCATGTTATTTCTAGCAACATCCACCCAGCTGCCTCTGGAACTCTTCAAGCAGAACATGGTAGAGGTGGTCTTCTCTCATTTATCTCCAATATACTCAGCGTACACTGTTTCTAAGGTCAGAAGCTTCACTAGTTATCAGGATGAATAACAATCAATTTTTACAACTTTTAAAATGTACTATTAAAATTTTACTAAATCTGTGACTTTACCACATGAGGACTAGGATCATGTACAAGGGGATTAGGTCAAGGGATTTTAAACTTTGTAATACAACAGCTGTGATGGAATGGAATTATGAAGGCCAGGCTCAGGGAGATAAACATTTTCTTAGCTCGCCGGAGCGTGGGAGCAACAAGAGGA